TTATTTTGAAACATAATACAGAGAAAGAAAATTTCATTTAGTAAGTACTTGTTCAGGGGGGTCAAAATAAAAGGCATTGTTGGCATTCTAAAAGCTACTACCCTCACCCACTTTGCTACCTGATTGTGCGATGTCTTCTCACTAGAGATAACAGCTACCTTTAACCTTATGGTAAAGATATCTTTATTTTATAACCTTCGTATTTATCTATTTCTAAACAATATATTTTAGTTTTGCCTACTTTTTAAAGATGGGATCATACTGTAGATATTCTTTTCTTACTATCTAGTCCCTTTTTTAAAAAAGATTAATTTAGGCATACAAGAACCTGGGGTACAGGCCAGAGGTATGGAAGGTGAGAGGATTCACCAGAGACAGAGTGGGGAACAGAACAGGCAGACTGATTGAAATACACTGCTGAGGGGAGCAGTGGGTGAGACAGGAGAGGTCTGCTGCACCATGTGGGTAGCTCCCTGGCTGGGGATTGAACTCATGCTGCAGTGGCTGCAGATAGCTTCACAGTGCTGTGCTTAACCCCTTGCACCACCAGGGAGGCCCTTTATCTAGTCTATTCACAACCATGAGGAGTGTTTGCATCTTGAGGTCACTGCAAATAATCCTGCTGGGACCTCCATGTACATGCACCTGGTACATGCACCATGGACATGCATACACATATGCATGCACTTCTCTCAAACACATTTCTGGAATGAAATTGCTGTGTTCTTAGAATGCCTCTCTTCAGCGTTTCTCAATAGTGCAGAAACTCTTCAACAAAGCAGTAGTACTAGTTTATAGTCCAGTTGGGACTGAGAGTCCTAAGTCCAGCATCCTTTCTTCCACAGCAATCACTGTGGCTTGTTGGCCTCCCGATGAAGGAGACTCAGCAACCTTCAGTTCCTTCACATCCCCAAACAAAAACTTACATGCAGAGAGGATGTTGAACTGCTGTTCATTTTGGTCCTTAATGTGGTATTGAAGTAAAATCACGTTAAGGTTCTTTGACAAGCTTAGATTGAAGGATGAGTCATCCTCTCAGTAGACCATGACTTGTTGAGGTAACTATGACATAGTCCTTTTTCATCCAGTTTCATTAAGTCTGTTTCAGAAAGCTACACCTTGAGGAACCACAGCAGGTGAGAACAGTACCAGTGGCACGGCCTTCTCTTGCTCATCCCTGCTCCCGCAAGGCAGGGTTGTTGTTGTCTGGGGTGGCTCTGCATCCGTTAATTTTGGGGAACTGGCTCAGTCTGCAAGGAAAGATCTTAGAGCATCTCTCCAGCAGGGTGCTGCCATGCATCTAGGGAAATTCCTCCCAAGGAATGTCTGGAGCAAGACCAGGCTCTTCAGGACAGAACCAGAAAGGCAACCAGCTGGGAGCCAAGGTCAGCCATGGAACTTCCTACTTGAGGGACTGCTTAACCCTAAGTCACTCTTGTATCTTTTTCTGGTGGCTCTGAACACTTTTTTAGAAGACTGCTGGAAGTTGGCCCAGGTTTCATTTCTCTCCTCAGATGGTCTCAAGAGCCCCTGGAGGTCCCATTAAAATAGATTACTGGGGGTTAGAGCACAGGTGGCTGGGCCCCACCCTAGTTTCTGATTCAGTGGGTCTGGGCAGAGACTGAGATTTGCTTTTTCTCGCAAGACCTGGGTAATGTTAATCCTGCTGGCCAGGAGCACACGTGGAGTGCTCCTGTTCATCATCAGGCTTCATTTCGAGCTATTGGTGATAACATGAAACAATGCAATTTCATATTCAGATTAGAAGATCTACACAGGTTAATTAAGAATTTCCCAATCATTTAGCACACCTACTTGATACAAATTTAGTTCATTCTCTGTCCTTAACTTTAAGATTTCTGCTCAGGAGCCCACGAAATTAAAAACTACCATCTCTACAGCATCAGTTTTACATGCACCTTGGTGTTAAATTAAGGAGCATAAGTTAAAAGTAAAGTTCCCTATTTCCTGTTTAGAAAGTCATCTGCTGATCACTTGACTTAATTAAAGCTGGGTTTATCATATACTTGCTCTAATGCACTCATCTTATACCTCCATGATAATGCTGCTTTAATCTATGAATTGATTAAACTATAAAATAAGCACAGTTCTGGTTTGCACTAAACTACAGACATGAGATCGCCCTCTGCCTTTAACTTAAGGCACAAGCTGCTGGCACAGAATAAATACACTGATAGAAATTAAATGGTGAGGGGGACCTCCCCGGTGGCGCAGTGGTTGAGCGCTAGGCTGCAAAGCTGCAGCCTCTGCAGCACCGGTTCGATCCCCGGCCACCGGCAAGGGTCCCACATGGCGCACAGACCTCTCCTGCCACACCCGCTGCTCCCTTCAGCAGTGTGTTTTCGTCAGTCTGCCTGTTCTGCTCCCTGCTCTGGCTCTGGTGAATTCTCTCACCCTCCCGCGCTTCTGACTGTACCCAGTGCTTGTATAAATAAATAAATAAATCTTTAAAAAAAAAAAAAAAAAAAAAGAAAGAAATTAAATGGTGAGGAGCTTGAAATTAAATTGCTTTAAGGAAAACCAGAAACTCTGAGGAGAGGGTTGAGCAGTTCATAGTGTTGTACAAATGTGCTGTGATGGGCCAGGGTGGCTTCCTAATCTGCTTGGAGTAATAATCACAGTGGCTGTACCCCTGCCACTGCAGGCTCGCTCATGTGTGGAGTGCTGTTGGGCAGTACCTGGCTTACTTCTGTTTTCAGAAACATACACAGCAACCAGTCTGGATGGGATTCCCAGTAATACTAAGGCCGGCTTGCATCTGTCCTGTTCAGTCCTGTGGAAATTATACTGGCCTGGGAATGGTGCAATCAAATCATTACTTCAAATACCATTCTGTGCTGTGCATGATATTAATAGGGTTGGTTGGCAGGATCACTATGACATCAGGTTTTGCCGTGATTCATTTCTAAGAGATCTAGTTGGGGAATTAACTTTCAAGTTCTGTGTCTCCCTCCCACTGGTCCCCTGCCCCCCAGTGGCCAGGATTCTGAAAAGAGTCTAATGTCTAAGCCAAGATCAACTTCCTCATCTCTTCCTGGAGTTTTGTCCCACCAGCATTTCCTGGGTCTCCTCCAAGGCACCCAGCCTTGGGTTTAGCTAGGAGATAAGATGGGATGTTTCCCTGAAAAGTTTGTCTTTATTTGGTCTCTTTGGGGCAGAAGGGAACATAAATACAAGCTCTGCAGTAGTCTCGTCGACTCTTTTATCCTAACAGCTAACAGATGGGTGAGCTCGGTAGCCCCTATGAGGGTTATTTAGAATTCTCAGGACCTCATTTCCCTGATTTCTCCTTGGTTTACACGGATTTTCACACATTTTGTTTTACAAGATTTGCACACATTTGTCAAATGTTCATAAAATCAGCATAAGAGAGAATGGCCTGGGCATGTGTGAATTCTGTCCTGCTAGAAGCGACACTGAGAGAGGCCTTGGCTGATGGACCCTCAGTAGCACAATGTTCCTGGGTTTGGGGAAAGAATGCTTTAGGAATTCATCTGGGAACTGTATTAGGCTCCCACCTCCTGTGGGACTCTGGGATACAGCAGTGGCTAAGACATAGCCCTCTCTGCCTGATGCATTATGAAGGGACATGTATATAAATTATTTATTACAGAGAAGTTACTGGAATACACTATCCTTCTGCTACTAGGAGACTGCGAACTTTATACCAACATAGCAAGCTAAGGAGGGGAAGAGCTTCTCTTGTTTAGGAATGAGGAAGCTTCTTAAGAGGAGGCAAAGCCTTTTAGTAGGGCGTTACAGAAATGGTTGACTAGAGAGGAGGAGACAAGGGGTGAATCAGAGAATATGAGCAGGAAATGGGTCTGGGTGGGACATACTTTAATCTCACTGACTGGATCTGCAGGCAAGGGCCAGGGGACACAGTCCTGGTGGGCTAAGGTGGTCGGCAGTTGGTTTTTCTTCTGGAGGCAGCATCCCTCCACCTCAGCCACGTGGGCAACTTGGTACCTCGAAAAGGGGGACCTCCCTCCCTGTCTTCCTCAGGTATCCCCACTTCCCTAGTTCTCTCCCACCAACCCCACCTTCCACAGAGCTTGGGCTCACTCCATTTTCTTCAGAGGCCATTCCTGACAGCCCCCCCCCCAACACACACACATACCGGACTACCTGACCTACTTACTGCCACCTTTCTCTTCATAAAATTTACCACAGTTTGCAACTACATATTCACTATCTGTTCCCCCAATGGACTGTCACTTCTGTGAGCACAGAGACCATGTAGGGCATATATAGACGGTCCACACACATGTCCAGACCGTGGACGGCCTAGTGTGTAGTCTGTGTTCAGTAAACAACTGTTTATGAGCCAATAGTTTTCTCCAAAGAACATTACTTGTTCAGTACCTCTCTGCACATTTTTCAGTAAATGAGATAAAAGACATTTTAATAGAAATAATAGTATCTTTCTAAAATATATACAAATACAAATTAGGTGCTGACATAATCACAAAATTTAAACATTTGTCAATAAAATCTGTGCATGTGCAAGAATGACAGCCCCCTCTGAGAAATTATACACCATATTTAAAATGCAACCAGAATTTTCCACTGCTACTCATGTGTTTATTTTTAAATAGCTGAGAATTAGAGCTATTTTAACTTCTGATAGTGGTAGAAGTCAGAGAAAAGGAAATCTACCCCCTGAAGCCACTTTTAATAAATTCCCAGTTTATCAAAAATAGTGACAGTGAAAAATGCAAGTTTCTTCAGCAGCATGAACCAGAATGGTGTCATGCATTCCACAGTGAGCCCCAGTTTTACACTTGAACTTCACTAAGCAAAGTGTAATTACTCCTGGACTGCCTCTCATCATCCTGAATACCAGATGCTGGCGGTTGCCAAACAGGAGCTGCAGTCCAGCTCCCGGAGTGAGCACTTCCCTTCTCGACCTGGCTTGTGGACGACGGGGTTTCCCATCTCCTGTCCCCGCTGTAACTCGTGCTCTGTTTCCTCCACAGCCCAGTGACTTCTCCGTGTCTCTCAAAGCATCAGGGAAGAACAAACACTTCAAGGTGCAGCTTGTGGACAATGTCTACTGCATCGGACAGCGGCGGTTTCACACCATGGACGAGTTGGTGGAACACTACAAAAAGGCCCCCATCTTCACTAGTGAGCACGGGGAGAAGCTCTACCTCGTCAGAGCACTTCAGTGACAGCCCCTCCCGGGCCCTACCACCTCCAGGCCTTCGGTGCCACACTCACTTCCCCAGAGCCCAGCGGCGCCGCCCGAGAAGTCGTCGTCCGGCATGGGCTGTCCCGCCCAGGGGTCCACGCTGTCTGGTGGTTCTTCCTCTATTGGCTTCCTTTGCCTGGTTTATCACTCTGTCCAGGTCGGTTTGTCTTCATCTTCTCCCCCACCCTCCCACCCCCTCCCCACTCCCTTTGCTACCCCAGGCCCTCACACCCACGGTCTAGCCCACTCCCCACCCTGGCCAGTTTTAGAGAAAGGAAGATGATAGAAGAGGGGCCCGTTTGTCCACTTTGTTCCTTCTGGAGTCAGCCTTGTCTGCTGAGATTGTCATGCTAACACAGCCCCTCATTTCAAAGACATTGGGCGCAGATTGAATGCACTGAAGCTGCCGTTAATTACATGAGATGCAGCCCACTCAGAAAGTGTGTCCAGTGGGCTATTTTGTGCTCCGGGCGGTGCATGGAAGGTCCCCGGTCCTAGCAGCCCTTGTTCCGTGTCCTTTGCCCTTACATGGCCCCCACATTGTCCAGGGAGCCAACCATTTGCTGGTAGCAATACTGGAACCACCGGGTGACATAGTGGTGAGGAACTGTCCAGTGCCTTTGGGGCTGTACTTGCAATAAAGAAAGGATTTCCTTGAAAGTCAGTCTACAGAAGAGGTGACCCGGAAAGACAGATGTTTTGGTAATTTACCCCCATATGTGCCATCTGCCTAGTGCTTTTTCCTCTTGCCCTTCGGCTTGTTTAAATTTCACAATTATGTATTTAATTCTCAAAGTAATATGTATCTGTAGTCATTTGTTCACACTAATTCAGATGATTAAGGAAAATGGCTGATCTTTGGGGAAGGGGAGCTACCAACACTTTACACACACACACAATATATATGTTTATATATGTACGTATATGTAGATATATATGCATATATATATATTATTTGCTTTACAGGGAAATTTTTCAGGGTTTACAAAAGAGTATGTGATTGGTAGTAGGAGACACACAGAATGTTTATGAAGAAATTGCATTTTCTTTTTTCTTTACATCTGAACTTCTTTATAGTTTAAATATACAGTCTTGAGATGGCACATTCCTACAGCTGAACAAGGGGTCTTGTGAACTCCTAAACTTGCATACGCAGTTTTTTGGATATTGTAATAAAAAAAAAGTATTATGACAAGATTATGTGTGTATTTATCTTTGGGAAAACTCTTGACTCAATTATGGGAGAGTAATTACTGCAGCATTTACTGAACATTCAGTGCCTAAGGGAAACATTTTCAGAGAGGAGTTTAAGAAATTTATTATGTGTTTTCTACCACCACATTTTTGTATATTGAAATAATAAATTTTAATTAGTGAAACCCCAAAAGAAACCAAAATCTCAAACTTGGTCTTAACTTTACTCTTTGGAAATTATTTGTTAAAAATGTTTTAACAAACTGTTGCCAGCTATAGTTCTCACCTCTAGCTTCCTCTTTTCACTCCTTGTAAACTTCATTCACCCAGGCTATAAGTGGTTATCAGATAATCACCATGTGCCAGGCACTGGGACTATGAAGTCATGTAACACAGGGCCTGTGCCCTTGTGGGCTGGTTACGGCAAAAGTGTATTAAATACTTACTCTGTAGACATGGTGTCCACCTCGATTCCTCATGATAGCCTATGAGGTAGGTCCCTGTCCTATCACCCCCATTTTACAGATGGATAAAATGAGGCACAGGATAAATGCACAGGGACACATGGCTGGTACATAGTAAGGCAGGGTCAAAAATCCAGAAAGCTGGCTGACTTCAGGGCCATGCCCTCCAACCCCAATCTGGGGAGACTTCCAGGAGAAATAATGTATTTTGTGAGTGGTTTACAGCTAAGCTGCTGTTCCTATTTCCTGTGAGTTAATTGTCTCTTTTTGCTGCCTTTAATAATGATGAATGAAAAGTCTGGTGTCTGATATCTAAGGTTTGGAGCCCCTAGTTTTGTGAATAGACATCCTGGTGAGGGAGGCAGATCAGTACCTTAGACAAAATGCATTTGTCCTATACCTTCTCCATGGAAATAACAACACTTCCTGGCTCAGGTCTCACTGTTGGGTGTTCCGTTCTGACATTATGCTAGACACCTAGACAGCTGAGAGACAGTGATTTACATGTAGCCATTCGAGAAGAAACAAAGGACACAAGACAGATACACATATTGGCTTCAGGGACTTCTTCTGGGCCTGTCCTTGTAATTGACAATTATTTTCAACTTTGTCCCAACATACCGTGGGAAAGCCCTCTGCTGGCCTATGGAGATCAGAAGCCTGTTAATAGAGTACAGGGGTTCAGGCAGGTCCCCAACTGGTTTGGTGTATGGATCACCATATTCTGTACAGCTGACATTTCTGCCATCATCTTCTTACATGTCCAGAGATTTCCTGGCCAAATCTTAGTTTACTATCCCTTGCCTCTTTGCAACTTACAGCAAAGGACAATAGAGATCACTTATTTTATTGTGGTGTGACTCTACTCATTTGTTTGCATTAAATGTGCCTTCATTTTTCACAAATAACTCTGCTGATGGGCCTCCCCGTTGGCGCAGCAGTTGAGCGCTGGGTTGCGAAGCTGCCCGCGGCCTCTGCGGCGCCGGTTCGATCCCCGGCTGCTCCCCGGCCACCAGAGGAGGGTCCCACATGGCGTGCAGACCTCTCCTGCCGCCCGCTGCTCCCCTCAGCAGTGTACTTCGGTCCTTCTGCCTGCTCTGCTCCCCGCTCTGGCTCTGGTGAATTCTCTCACCCTCCTGCACTTCTGATTGTACCCAGTGCTTGTATAAATAAATAAATAAATCTTTTAAAAAATAAAAATAAAAAAAAAATAACTCTGCTGAATTACAGCACAGAACTACCAAACCCTTCTTTCATAGCTTATGCCAAATGTCATTAAACCATGTTTCTAGGATACTAAAACTGCCCATTTTTTCTCACAAAGTGCATCACAAATAAAAATCTTAAAGTTATTATAAAAATCTTAGTATCTACTGAAGCTGACATTTTGAAATTATTTTTGCTGTTGCCAGGACAGTTTTTTCTTTAGTATCTTTGTGCTAAATGGTTTATAATTTGATTTCCTACCATTTCTACAGCCCAATGCCAGAATACCAAAATAATTGCTTACAACCAAAGTTCAAAACTGAGAGGAAAGAAAAGCTTGAAAGTATTCTTTTAAAATGCTGCTTTTCAATAAAGACAGGCTTACTTTTGGCCTTTTTCTCACTAGAATCCAACATTATTCATTTGTTATTAGTGTGTGATGAGAGATTTACAGGGTCTTTCCAAGTCTAACACCTTCCCAGGGTGCTAGCCGGTCTCCTGCGTAGCAGCATCCCTCATCCAGACTGGAACTCGAGCCCAGAGCCCGGTGGTGTGTGAGTGCCAGGTCATCTTATTAGGCCTGCAACTTCAAGCAAATTGCCTAGCTGAGCATGTTCATTCATGAGTAAGTGGGGCTGCTCGCCATGGTATTCACAGGGTTGTGTGAGGATTAGCAGGGATAGAGAGAACTTGAACTTTATAAGACACTGCACAACAATAAGTGATGTCACTCAGGCCTACTGTGTGTCATGTGCCCTCCTGCCCCTTACCCTCACTGGTTGGAGCTCATCTCATTGATTTCTCCATAGCTACGAACTCCCCCAGCAAGGCAGAGCTCCAGCACCCTGAGATCCTCAGTGTGGGATTCCCTGGCAGTCTTAGCACCAGTTCAGTCCACTTTCTAGAACTTCGACCCTTGGGGTATTTGAACAGGTATTATTCCAACAAATTCCTCATTCTAGATAATGTGATCCATCGTTCCAGATAATGTGGTCCTCGTTCTAGATAATGTGGTCATTTAGAAGCTAATGCCCAAAGCTAAGCCATATGGGGCCATACTCAGCACTGGACTCACCTTGAGGTCTTCAGGTGACTGACAACCCTCTGGTGAAAGGGGAGACATCTTTGTTTTCTCCTTCAAGTGAGGTGGGGGTGTGTGGAACTCCCGCCCCCTGCCACCCCCATGATTCATGTGAGGAAGTCCTGAGACTGACAACACAGTGGTTATTGAATTACAAGTCAAATAAGCCAACCAATGTCCAGAGCACATTTGACCCTGGTCTGCTGTAAAAAATTACTATAAACTAGGTGGCTTATTAGCAACAGATTTATTTCTTACAGATCTGGAAGCTGGAAGTCTGAAATTGGGGTGCCAGGATGGTGGGATTCAGGTGAGGCTGCAGACTTCGGACTTTTTGTGTTGTCAATGGCCAAAAGTTGTAACTGACAATTACTTTCAATAGTGTCCCAAACTACCATGGGAAGGCTGCCACGTGCGATGTCCTGGTGGCAGTCATAAGTTGTCAATTTGTTACTTCCTATTTCCTTGAAGGACAGGACAGCCAGCTACCTCTCTAGGCTTTCCTATAAGGGCATTAATCAACCCTTGTGACTTAATTACCTCCCAAAGGTCCCACCTCCAAATATCATCTTATTGGGGATTAAATTTCAACACATGAGTTGGTGGTGATGGGAGGGGGGGTGATGCAGAAATCAGTCCATAGCAACCTCTTCTCAACAGGTGGCATTTCCACTGTTCTGAGGAAGCTCACCATTGCTGTTCTAAATTCTGTCCTCTAGAAAGTTCTCCTTCATGCAATTTCCCAACCACAAGGTGGAGGTAGTCAGAGGGCAGCCATCTTCATTTTTAACATGCTCCCTAGAGATTCTGATGTAGCTTGTTTGGAGCCTCTTCTTAAGATACTGTTCTAGTCCACTTGAGGCCTTTGAGGAAATCACCTGCCCCTAACCCTTGTGCATACTCTCACAACATTGGCAACATGTTCCTTCTTTTGATCACAGAGAGAAATAGCTGCTCTCAAATGCCTAGAATGGTCTTCTTAATAGTCTCTGTTTGTTGTAGCCTCCTTTTGGATTTCTCATATTAAAGCTACCAGCCATAGAAACTAAAGACCCCATATGTCCCATCTTTGGAGGGTCCAGTTACTTGACAATAATTGTTGGAGATGGATGAGCCCAATAGCTGGTATAAAGTCTCACTTTGAGTGCTTTTTAAACACATGGCCTCCTCCCTGGGGGTAAACACTAGGCCAACTGCTTGGCTTGAGGGCTGGGTTCTGCAGCCAAAATCAGGAACCAGAAGA